CTCCACTCTGCCGAGCACGCAGCCGATGAGGAGCCCATGAGCAGGAGCAGAGAAGGGGAGAGAGCCCCCTTATCCCTCTCACTTACATTTTAATTAGCAAGTCCGAGCTCAGGGAGAGCTCAGGCCCCTGCGGACCGTTCAGGGAAAAGGTTCAGGACCCTCTTGGAGAAATGAGCAGGACTTTCAGTGACTTCCCTTCTTCCTTCATACGCCATCTCCTCCCAACTCAACGCTTCCAGAACTTTTCACCGTGAAGCACGCTGCCCCCTCCTTCCACCTACCCTTTTATAGTCAGACTACAATCCCTATTCCAAAAATAAACCAGCCTGATGAGAGGCCAGAAAAAGCAAAGCTTAATCGTTTTATGCTTTCACTATTGAGTTATGGGACATGAGTGGGCCAGATTTATCATCACATTTTTACAAATTCCCCTACAAATAAATAAGTCAAGGATAGGCCCAAATTACTCTGACTTCTTGACCCAACATGTTTTTGTAATTACTTGGCCCTCCAACTGTATGCTACTTAAATTAGGGACCAGTCACCAAGTTATTTTTAGGCCTTAGCAACACACACACACACACACACACACACACACACACACACAGCTATACCTAGCTTGTTATTTGTACTCCTTCGGAAAAGGAGCCAACACTGCCTTTTTACTAGCACCATCATTCCTGTTCACCCAACAGTAATAATAATATTCAGCTACATGTTTGAGTCCTTACGGCACATGAGGAACTGTTTAGGTGCTTTGCCCACATCAGTTCATTGTGTTCCTAAACTAACACTATGAGACAGCTACTGCCAGATCCTCTTTTCGTAAATGAGGAAACCAAGGAAAGAAGGAATTAAGCAATGTGCCCAGTAAGGGGGGGGGGGAACAAGACTAGAACTCGGACAGACTGAATCCCAAGTCCTGCCTGAATCCCCCCCACCACCCCATGTGCCACAGGGCTAGTGTTTGGCACGTTTGGGTGTTGAACAGGGGTTCAGAGTAACAACAGTCAGTTTGTGAACATAGGTATGTCCTCATAACATCCCTGAGACAGGAGGAAAACTTGCCTCCCCCCTCCCTCCCCCACACACAATGAAGCGGAAAGAGAGAGGCTGTTTTCACAGGGTCTCTGATTTCTGAGCACAGCCATTCATCTTGTGATCAAACTCAATACTGCCTGTAGGTGTTTGCTCCGGAGTCCCTGTTGACCATGGAGCAATGTGCAATCGATGCTGCTCGTTTCTCGGGAATTAGGATGGAAAGTTTCTAGTATGAGAGTCTAACCCCCTATGGTATCCAAATCTTCTCTATGAATCAGCCTCCTGGAGTAATTCTCTCTCCTCCCCCTGCCCCCAGTAAATGCCCCTGGTGCACACGCAGGCCTGCCAGTCTTTGTTTTGTGACAGCCCAGAGCAAGTACAGGCGTGGACCCTGACATACCTGCGCAGAACCGGGAGCTCTGGGCCCCCAGTTACCACCGGGAGCCTCCCACTCAGAGGAGGGGCTGCTTTCCCAGAGTCCTTACTGCCGTGAGTCAGGGCAGAATTATAAGTCTGAAAGGTTCTCCAAAGTGGTCACATGGCACTGAAGTATTTAACAGTAAACATGAGTCCATACCATACTATAAAATATCCCAGCCTCATTAATTTTAAAGCATTAAGCTTAAACATAAAGCCTATTTAAATACATTGAAACACTGTCTATTCTATGCATTTTTTCAACCAAAAAGAGGGAGAGAAGGCAGACAGGGAAAACAGTACCAATTGTTTAATCTGGTGACAGGTACATGGGTGCTCACTCCACTCTTTCCTGCTTTTCTATATATTTGAAAATTTTTATAATAAAATTTTAAAGGCATAGACTGTCTTCAAGGAGCACGTGGTGTAGCCCATCCTTTCCCACTTAGGTAAATGGCAAATTATTTCCCTGAACCCAACCTTGGGAGCCTCATAAACATCACAGCAAAGATGGTAGGTCTCATTCTGGAAGACCCAGAACTGTCCAGCCTTCTGACTCAGTGTGGTTACAAATCATATTAAAAATCACGTTTGGGTAAAACAAATGACAATTCTTTCAAAGGCTTTGCAAATCCTAAATATTTCTTCGTTTCTCCAGGTTGGGTAGAAGCGTGGGTCAGATGCCACATTTTCTTCGGAAGCTGAGACTAAATCACAGATTCAGACATGGGTCACAATGGGGAGGGGGACTCTAAATTAGAACAGTAACTTAATCTCAGGGGCTCCTGCGCCTCCGATCACTTTCTTCCCACCCTGACACAGCATTACTAAAATGGTAACTGAGCAGCCGCTCTACTTGACAGGCAGCACCAAAAATGGAGAACGTGGCATTGAAACAGGGGACATGAATCTTGGACAGGGAGGGTAGCAACCAGTGTTTACAAACACACACCAGGGCAGCAGGTGGGCCAGCCATAAATTACCCAAGATTGCACGGAAATCTCTGAAAATAAATTAATGAGGCCTTAGGAGTTTCTACCTTAGAAGATCCTCACTACCCCCATCACCATAGCTTCCTTACAAAAATCACTCATTCCAAAATGGTACCACTACCACTCTTGCTAAAATAAAATCTTACATCACCAAGGGTTGGGGTTAGTAAAATTAACCTCAGCAGAGAAGCCAGACCAGGATGGTCTTCTTGACCCACTCAAGAGCCTAGGAGAAGTTGCTGGCCATGCCCTCTGAGAGATGCCTACCCCATTCCTCACCCATGGCGCTACTGTGTTAACCTTTGGTTTGCCCAGATGAAAGGGGAACTCGGGCATCCTAGTATTGCTCTCTCTCCTTTACCATCTTGGTCCCAATTTTAGGCCGTTCCCCCCAAAGAGACCAAAATTATAATGTCGATAAGAATAAATAAAGTAGATTACAGACTCTTTTGCTCTTGAACTACATAGTTTCAACCAAATGCCCAAACATTTGAAGAAAAAGCCCCCCAAAGCTACAAATAATCTAACCTCTCCACCAGCGCGTCTTCCAGGTCCCCGCCGCTGTCTCACCAACCCGAAAATGACGAGCCCTCCCAGTGGCCGCCCCGGGCGCCCGGCGGTGAGGTCAGTGGCATGCCCGGCCCCGCCCCACTGAGGCAGTCTCACTCCCTGACACTGAGGAACGAGCCCAGGCTGCCTGGAGTCTCGGCTGCATCCACAGGGAAGGGGGGAACCCCATTTTCATCAGTAGCACACGGGAGACTCATTTCTCAGTGATTGACAAGCCGCCCCCATGGACAACGATGCCCGCTGCCTAAGGGGAGGAAGGATCTACAGCTCCTCCTAACCAGCCTCTTTCAAGTCCAGGGTCATCTTAGTGTGCATTGTTCGATGCCTGTCTTCAGATCATACAGACACAAAAGGCCTACTTTTCCTCGACAACATCCACTCTGCATGAGCAGAGAGATGACCATTAAGACCACTGGCAACCCCTCTGTCTGCTCCCCAGGACAAACTATTGCAAATGGGAAACGTGTAGGTCGTAGTTTCTCATCCGAAAAAGACGAGCCAAGCCAATACCATGGGAAGAAAACGCTAGCCGGTAAACTTACTGGGGATCACTCAAAGTCAACCAAACAAGTATATAAAGCAATAAAATACAGAGCTCAACAGAGGAAATCTGAACATACCTATAAACCCAAGAAAACCCAGGAACAACAACAAAAGCGACTGGAAGCTCCTGACACTCTCTGGATCCGACCTCCGTGATGCCAACGTTCCCATCAGAGCCCGCCAGCCCTAAGAGCAGCTCTGGCTTGGTGGTGGTTGAGTCCAGGGAGAGGGCAGTGGAGGGTGGGCAGGTGGGTTACAGCAAAGGAATTCAGAACCCGATTTCCAAGAGCCCTACTTGGGAAGACCAGGGCTTTGGAAAGACCAGAAGGGGACTGGCAGGGCTGTCTTCACAAAGACAAAACTACTAACTTGCTCACCTCAACGGCCTGTTGCAACTTAAACAGGTAGAGATGTTCAAGGGAACACTTTGGTCAACACAGTTCAGGAGACTGGCTGGTGACATGGCCCAGACTGTGCACCTTGGCTCAAACATAAGAGAAGAAGGGAGTGACCATCTCTCAGAGCCACCACCACCAGGCAGAAGACGCCGAAGAGAAAGGATCAGGTGCAGTGCCCCGAAGGGCGGCATCTGGAGGCAAGAAGCTCACCTGGGGGTGGACAAAGGGCGAGGGCTGCCCCACTGGGTCAGGCAACGCTGTGTGGAAGGAGCTCGGAGAACAGTGGGTAATGGACTCCTCCTGCCAGGGCTCAGCCACATGGCCTCAGTTACCCTGCCCTGAGCGTACTGAGGCAAGCGACCCACCTTGAGAGGAGCGGTGATGCCAGCGGTTGTCAGGAGCAGCCAGAGGGAACAACGGGCTGTGGAGTGTCCAGTAAGAATGACTCTGTCCCCTTCTGGCAGAGGAACAGATGTTTCTGGTGACCTGATACTGTGGGGTCTTATAAGAAGGATCTCTGCCCCTCTACATGTCCCTTCACGAATCACATAAAGCCCAAGCTGGTCAGAGAGCTGGGAAAGAGGGAGAATTTCCCACAGACAGAACTGGTACCTTTAGGTTTACTTGTGGTTCACCATCTCAGTTCCATCATCTTGGTGATGTCTGAGAGGTGATAACTTTCCAACCAGTGATTGATTGGACTAGAGCTACCAGACCGGGCATGACTTGAGACACCCCTCTCGTGTTATAAAAGCCCCTGTGGGGAAAGATGAGGAAAGTCTCAGGGAGGTGAAATGACTTGCACAATGCAAATGAGGCAAAACCAGAACCCAGATCTTCTGGCTTCCAGTTCAACGCTGCTGGGCCCCTCTCACTACCCCAAAATAATTAAGAAAGGGCACGGGGAGGGCAGACACGAAGAAGGAAGTCTGTTCTGGTCTTTGGCAGGCAGGTAGGGTAAGGAGAAGGCTGGTACTTCTAAGAGAAAACCCCGAGTGACCGCAGGCCAGTCGGGAGTGCGTGGGGAAGGGAGCGTTACCTTTCAACACCAGAGGTTCTTTGCCTTCTCTCTTCAGCGACTCGAGGACTATGTGGAGTGGCTGGGAAGGCATCACTCGGCTCGGCTCATTGGTATTCTCATCATAAACTATAATTTCTTTGGAAAAGATCCTCTTGAAAGAGTCCTTGCCTTCCCTACAGGAAATCAAGTCTAAGACAGTGATTTTGCCCTGCTGTAGTCTCCGCCGGCTGATCTTATCGGCGCAGTTGATGTGGACAGCTCCTTGGATGTGGCTCTTGTTGTACTCCATGAAGGGCCGGCAGTCGATGATGACGGGGCCCTGGCTCGCCAGGGGACTCTTGCTGCATCTGGTCATCTTCTTCGCCAAGTCATTGGGGTAGATTATTTTGATGCTGGCCAGCTGCTTGGGGGTCCCTGACACGGGGCTGCCCACCCCACCGGATGGACTTAGAGAGCCTACGTTCTCATTGTTGTTGACCATCTGGGTGGCAGGGCAGGTGCTAGAGGTCCCGATGGCAGTGGTGGCGGAGCCAGCGGCAAGGGCTTGGGTGTGGGCCTGACTGTCCTTGTCGTAGGTTGCCACAGTGCAGCAGCTGGCACTGCTGCATCCACAATTCAGGGAGCGGGCAGAGCCGCTGGATGAGGGCATATACGTCAGATTCGCAGCCTTTAGGGACACAACGGTGGTGGCGATGACGGCAGGGTGGCTGTGACTGCCCGGGGCGGCAGAGCCAAGGTAGCTAGAGTCTAAACAAAGGTTGAGATCCTGAGGCCGGACGGGCCTAGACAGTGCCACTACTACCCTGTCGTCTAAAGGAGACGGAGGCATGAGGAGGCTGAAAACTGGCAATTCAAGAAGAACTGAAGACAGTCTGTAAAGAAGGGGAGGGGGAAAGAAAGCATAAAGTCACGTGATACCAAAGGCAGTCCGAGCCAATCCCGAGGAGAGGCCACCGCCTCCCCCTGAGCAAAGTCGTCCTGAGCGCCCTTTTTCATGCAGCTCTTGAAGCTCGAACCTCGCTGTTATGGGTCCAAAGAAGATGTGAGCCTGAGGGGCCCCACCTGCTTGGTCTCTAAGTCTAAGGTGAAATGTATAGTCCGTGCATATGTTGATGAACAACCTTTCTTGGACATACATCAGCCCCAGAAAAGGGAAAAGCACAAAGAACTGGAAACTCTGTAGACAGAAAGGAAGGCTCTCAAGAAGTCTCTATTCTGGGCCTCATCTCCTGGGCAGAAGTACAGCGCAACTATCTGAGAGAGACCCATTTGTCCACCCCTGCATACTTTCCATGTAATTCCTCACCCACAGCAAAGGCACAGGAATGGCCGAGAGCACTGGCACGGCTCACAGAAATATACAGCAGCTAAATATACATCGGGGCGGATGTCAACTTTCTGCAGATCAGTGAAAGTATCCCCCCCGAAGTGAGTCTCTTTAGCTGGGAGCTATTCTCACTTTCCGTTCGACAGAGCCCTTTGAAAAGCTCACACCATCACATTAAACCTCCCATGCTTCCTCTCAGCCTATTAATTAATCTGCATTTCCCCTTTCATTACAAATCCGTGTCCTGAAATGAAGCCTCGAGCCAAGGAGCCGGGTCTGGAAACCTCAACCCTGGCAGATCCATCACCCGTTGCTCCCTTGCCACTCCCCCCA